CTTTTGCCTGCTTCGCTTTTGTAGGGTCTAACACCTGTCTCTTATACACATCTAGATGTGTATAAGAGACAGAGAGAGAGCAGAGCAGAGAGAGCAGAGCAGAGGAAGCAGAGAGCAGAGGGAGGTGGAGGAAGCAGGACCGGCGAAGAGAAGCAGAGGACATGTGGAAGGCAGAGGACATGTGGAAGGCAGAGGAAGGGCAGAAGGCGATAAGGACAGTCCCTTTCTTCTGCCAGAGGAGGTGAAGGATGATACAAATAACGGTCAGCTTCTTCTGAGCACTATTTTCTCTTTCTGGTTTGATCTTGTAGATGGCAGCAGCTTTTCACTTTCATGTCCACAAGCTTTTCACTGATCTTTTGTGAGAGAGACAGATTACCTGCACCTATGGACTTGTAGGTGATGGACGGCTGCCACTCTTTCCTGTGCTTCACAGTTGCAAAGCCTATCGAACTGGTCACTTGATCTCCACCATTAAACAGAGCTGTCGATCACTGTCATCTCGATGGCCCTCCACCTACTTACTTTTGCTCGTGCATCTCTTAGGGACTGGCCCTGCTGTAGCTATCTATATCAGCCAAACGGGCAGCTTCACCAAACGGCGAGCAAGTTAACCAAACACTGGCCAGCTTAACGAAATGGAGAGTCCTAACTAAAAGAAGAATACCCTAACGAAACAGCAAGCAACTTTACCAAACAGTAAGCAGCTTAACCAAACAGTGAACAACATGATCGCGTAGTGCTCGGCAGCAAATAACATTAGCAAAGAGCCTGCAGACATTCAGTACTGTTTCTTGTGACTGAACCCTGTGCAACATAGAACTGCCGAGCGCTGGCTTAACAGCTGGATGCCTTAAAGCACCAGTACACGGCCTCAGCCTTGCAGCAAAATAACTTGTCGCCACAAGAAGTAAAAGGCGGGCTCGGGCCAGGGTCGGAGCGTCAGAAGGTTTTTTATTTTTGGGGCCCATGTCAAATCCGCATGTCCCAAAAAACAAAACAAGCTTTGGCCGTGATTGCAGTTGGATACACTTTTTGGAGTACTCCGTGTGAGTCTGCCCTCAGTGGGGGCACTTTGGCAGAACGAAGAACACGGGGAGCACGACTGTCAGACACACAAAAAAAAAAGAACAAAAAAAAAAAAGCCAACCAAGCTTTGGCCGTGAAAGTGGTTGGATTCATTTCAACGCTGCTAGTGTGAGTATGCCCTCAGCGAGGGCGTATATGCGGTGCCATGCTGGCAGTGAAAGGAAGAAAAGAACAAAAGGAGAAAAAAGGAAAAACAGCAAAGTTTCCCTCTCCCCATAATATTGGTCAGATGCATTCTGGAAAGTGATCACTTGAGTATGCCCTCTGGCTTCCACGACGTCATTGATATCTGGCTTGTTTGTTCCTTTCTATTTTCTTTTTTTTTTTCCCTTCAGGTAGACCGTCGGCACCGGTGCCACTTCCGAAATTCCCACTGCAGGTACCCTCACGCAGAAGGCTCGGAAAATAGCGGCGCGCAGTGGGCAGGTAGGTTCGGGATTTTAGGTGCGGGTGTACTGGTGGTTTAAGCCACCACTACTCCCGACGGTGGCCAGGCCCTACACTGGTACATATTTGGGCCAACCGTCAGTCTAGATACAGCAATAATGACCATACCTTCTGTTCAGGTGAGGACAGTAGTTGTTGCTGCAGTAAGCTCCGCTCGGTGCTGTACTTGTGATTCAGACGGAAGAGAGAAGAAAAAGCAGACGAACAATCCCTTGCCACACACTGCACCAACTCTGCAACGGCGTTCTTCTATCCATTGTCACACAACAACGTTCTTCTATCCATTGTCACACAACTACGTTCTTCTATCCATGTCACACAACTACGTTCTTCTATCCATTGTCACACAACTACGTTCTTCTATCCATTGTCACACAACTATTGACTGCCACACAACTATTGATGTCGCACAATTATTCAATGTCACGCATTCATTGACTGTCACACAAACAATTGATTATCACTCATTCTGTCTTTTGCCTGCTTCGCTTTTGTAGGGTCTAACACTCCTCCACTCACCTTTTTGCTATTCTTTCTTCATTATTGTACATTGTGCGCCTCTGCTTCACTCTCTCCAGCATGTCACTGCTAATCGTTGGATAGTGGACATACGCAGCCACTTGTGCACCGGCGATTTTCGCAAGAGGGTATGTGAAAGCGTAGCCGCTGGTATCAACAAATATTGACGGTGTGAAGCTCATCAAGGCCTCGTACCCAAGAACCATAGACCCAAGGCTCTGTCCAATCAGGGTGAAACGAGGAAAGGTGCTTGCCTCCACCCATCGTCGCCGATGCAGCTTCACCACCTGAACAGACCACGCACATGCCCAAGCCACACCGAGATCCGCAACCCAGAACCAATGTCCCAACCCCAAGCAAAGATGAAATAAAGAGCTGATATCAGCGGCTCTGCCATACCAAACCACACGGGGACCAAACAAAACTTCACAATCGCAGCTGCCACACACAGATATTCGCAAACAAGATCCGGAGCCAGATCCAGAACAAGACCCAACACCAGATCCAAAACCTGATCCAGAACCAAATCCAGGAAATAGATCCAGAACCTGATACAGAACCAAATACAGGAAAAAGATCCAGATCCACGATCACCGGTTTCACACTGCATCTTTCCACCATCTAGGCATGCTGCATAGGTTTCCACAAACCGCATCCAGAACCTGATCCAGAAACTGATCCAGAAACTGATTCCTGATCCAGAAACTGATTCAGAACCTGAACCAGGACTGATCCAGGACTGATCCAGAACTGATCCAGAACCAGATCCAAAACCAGATCCAAAACCAGATCCAAAACCAGATCCAAAACCAGATCCAAAACCAGATCCAAAACACGATCCAAAACCAGAAATTTCACAAGTGCACCCGCATCATCCAGATGGTCTGTACAGGTTTTCACAAACCGGAACCAGAACATGATTCAGAACCTGGTCCATGACCAGATGCACAAGATCCACAACCAGATCCCCAACCATAATTTTTTCACAATTGCTTGTGCACCACCTGGACACTCCACAGGTTTTTCCACGAACTGGAATCAGAACCTGATCGAGAACATGATCCACAAACTGGTCCACAACCTGATCCAGAACCAGATCCACAGCATGAAATTTCACCACTGCATCTTAACCATTCGGGCATACACCCTTGGTTTCCACACACCAGAACCACAACCACAAACCGGAACCAGAACAGAACCAGAACCAGAACCACAAACCGGAACTGGAACTGGAACCAGAACTGGAACTGGAACCAGAACCGGAACCACAAGAATCAAACAATTTACAATGTAAGTTCTCCCTTCAGCTGCTTACGCATGAACTGTTTGACAGGCTACCCATTCCTCTTAACTCGGTTTCCGTTGGTTCAAACACAGCTTCCACATGGCCGTGCATCAGAATCCCTCACTCACTGGACTAAACGATGCTAAACCAATCAGACCCGCAACTGTTAGGCCGCCCAGTCAATTTGAACCCACCATCAACTGTTGGAGAGACTTACAAGTGCACTCAGACTACGCACCAACCCTGAACAAAACCAGACCAAGGGCACCAAGCACTCTGCGTAGTGACTCTGGCACTAGACCGGCCAGATGCAACGAACCAACCACAATTAAAACCCCACGGACCAACCATTTCACCCAGCATCAGACGCAGGGGTACGCAAAACACAATGCTCGTGTAAACTACAGAAGCCCGGGGGGGGAGGGGGGGAGAGAGGGGGAGCGCCGGGAGAAGGAGGTCAACGGCATGTGCAGTCGCGCAGGCGGAGAAACCAGAAACTCAGAGAGCATGGCCATGTAAAATGGGTTTTCTACATGTAGAGCATACAGCCATAAAGCACATGCAAGGGGCGAAAGAAGAACGGGGGTATTCTTGAATTTTGAGGGGAGGTGAAAGGGGGTTATTCATTGTAAACGGAGTGGACAAGTGAACACGTGGAGATGTTGAGACAGACCTGGACACGTGGACACGATCTGGACACGTGGACACGATCTGGACTCGAGGACACTCGACCCTGGAGACACGGACACTCGCAGATCGTGTCCACTCTGGCTCGGTCCCATTCACGATCAAGACCTGGACACGTGGACACTCAGACCTGGACACGTGGACACTCAGACCTTCCGCGAAAGTCGAAGAACGGCTTGGATGGATGAAGCAGAAGGTAAGGTCAGGATAACGGACTTGATACGTGAAGCCGGTCCCTTTCACGGCCCGGTCCCATTCCGGGCCATACGTTACTGTCCACGTGGCAATTCAGAATGATTTAGTTCTGTTCATCTGATAGTATCTGGATTTGAACTTGAGTCTGTATATCAACAGTTCATGGGTGTACCAACTGAGCTAGGCCCGTTGGTTAGCCAGCCTTTTTCCAGAGGGAGGAGGAAAGACAGGGGGGGGGGGGGGGGGGGGGGGGGGGGGGGGGGGGGGGGGGGGGGGGGGGGGAGGGAGAGAGGGATTTGCTGATAGTGTGCCACGTCATCCTTGATCTTTATTCACAACAATATTGAACAAACTTTCCTTTTTAGGGCGTTCTTTTTTTTTTTTTTTTTTTCCCGATGGACCACGGATCAGATATTAAACTGATCAGAACAGATACGATGCACTTGATCTTCGCCAGAAGGCCGAGAGAGGTATTTTTTAGGGCGTTCTTATCCACAATAATGGGCAAACTTTCCTTTTTAGGGCATGCTCAGACCAGGGCGACACCTGTCACACGGAATCTAACGAAAGTCGTCCCGGATCGGGGTCCCAATACCGTAGCACAGAGGATTGGAGGATTGGATTGAAAGCCTGGATCTGGACGTGTTTGCGGAGAGGCGCATAAAATCGCGATTGATTGATCTGGTTTTCTGCATCTCTGCGTAAAACACGTCCAGATTCATGGGCTCCCATGCTCTCTGCTAGGGGGACGTCGCCCCCGTTTGTTGTCCTCCGCCTCTGTTGGAGATTGCTCGTCACTCTCACTTTCTATTTTATTTTATTTTATTATTTTATTATTTTTATTTTTACTTCTTTTTTCATTGCTCGTCACTGTCACTTTCTATTTTATTTTATTTTTTTATTTTTTTTACTTCTTTTTTTACTTCTTTTTTCACTTACTTTTTCCTCGAAGGCAGTTCCGACAGGGACGTCGGCGTCTTGTCAGAAATAGACCGCACGATCATTATATCCGTATTCGGGGCAGCTTTCAGTCTACATACCGACTGATAATGACCGGGTGTCCTATGCGGGAGAAGACGGTAGCGCGCACTCACGGTCCATATGGCTGTAAGTATCTAGGACAACTGTCAGTCTAGATAGGGGTAATTAATGACCGTGAGTGCTGCCTTCACCCGAATAGAACACCCGGTCATTATCAGTCTGTATCTAGACGGGAAGTTGCCCCCCATACAGCTGTAATGACCCGGCGTTCTGTTCGGGTAAGGACAGTAGTTAGGGGAAGACGGTAGGGTGAAGGATCGAGCCCAAACGAGACCGGAGACCGCAGCTTGCTGTATCGCGTTGATGCGGGTTGATGCGGGTTGAGTGAGAAAGGGACACGTGGATCTCTGTCGTGCACAATTTTTTCAAGAGCTGGTCAGGAAACATGTTGCTCGCCACATAGCTTATCCAAAAAGTTAATTTCCAAAAAAAAAACAAAAAAAAAAGGTTCTTTTTATTGTTTTCAAAACAATATATATCATATAATACCGTATACACTAGGCTACCAGAGTGGCCCGGGGTCACTTGCCCGGGCGGGCCAAAAACATTAAAAAAAATAAAAATAAAAATATATTGTCACACTGTGAATTGGAGCGCAAAGGCGGAATATATATTTTTTCTTTATTTTTTATTATAAATTTGGTGAAGAATTTCGATGTGACGCTGAGGCAAAAGTTGTTCAGTTTATTTTGCTGCATAACATAGTGTTTTTCCGGGGGGGTTTTTTTTTTTTTTTTCTGCGACCTTCCCTGGTCCTTGCACCTGCTGGCCACCCGGGACCCGGGCGGCCCGGCTGGTAGCCTAACGGTGTACATCGTCAAACAGAGCCATGCGGACGACTACAATCACAAATCAGAAAAACAATTTGTGGTGATTAATTAGTGACAACTTGTTCGACGGAGACGTTATGATGAGACTTCCCATGCCAATACATCATACGATCCTGTCACCTAGATATATAGACGATCATGGCCATAAAGATGACAATGATCATATGATGATTGATCATCAATCACCGACAATGACGATGATGAGAATGATGAGGATGATGAGGATGAGGATTGACGATGAGGATGATGATTGATGATGAGGATGATGAGGATGATGAGGATTGATCATGAAGTTGATGAACATGATGATTGATAATCATGATGGTGAGGTTGATGATGAGCATGATGAGGACGGATGATGAAATGAGGATTGATCATGAGGATGATGAGAACTGATTATGAGGATCGATCACAAGGATGATGAGGATTGATCATAAGGTTGATGAGGACTGATGATCAGGATGATAAGGATGAAAAGGATGATAAGGATGATGAGGACGATGAGGATGATGAGGATGATGAGGATGATGAGGATGATGAGGATGCTAAAGATTGATCATCATAATGATTACAATTAATCAACGATGAGGAAGAGGAGAACGAAAAGAGGATCGAACAGATCATCAACATCAATGATCAACGCTGATGATGCTGATGATGCTGATGGTGATGGCGATGGTGATGATAATCAGGCGGAGGATGACCATGCAGATGATGACCTGGGTCGATTAGACTAATGGTCATGACGACAATGATCGAAGATCGTGATGAGCAAGATCATGATGATTGGTGGCAATCGTGACCTGTGATGATGACAACGTTGAAGATGATTGGACGATGATTGGAGTTGATTGGAAGATGATTGAAGATGACTGAAGATGACTGAAGATGATTGATGATGATTGGTGATGATTGGTGATGATTGGAAGATGATTGGAAGATGATTGGAAGATGATTGATGATGATTGATGATGATTGATGATGACTGATGATTGAAGACGAGTCATGATGTTAATGAAGATGATAACTTCACAGGGCCGAGTGGTTGGTTAAAAGTGACAGACTGTAAGTCTGTTGGGTTCATGATTGATACTGAATGAATGATTGAAACGATTTCAATCAATTCGTTTATAAGAAGAAAACCATGGCGATGGTCATCATCATGATCGTGATGACATCACACAACGAAAAGGAAAACAAATGAAGGAGTATTGCTCTCTCTCTCTCTCTCTCTCTCTCTCTCTCTCTCTCTCTCTCTCTCTCTCTCTCTCTCTCTCTCTCTCTCTCTCTCTCTCCATGTTTGTTCGGCGGACGCACATACGCACACAGACAATAGATGTACATAAAGGAACAAAAGGTAAGCACCACTTTCTCTTTCTTTCTCGTTCCATCATGGACACGGGCACATCCGATCCATACACCAGCACTCAACTCCCCGAGCGCGCACGCTTGCACGCACAGTCTCGCTCTCGCACGCACAGATTTCACATCTTGCACGCAAATTCCCTCTCTCTCTCTCTCTCTCTCTCTCTCTCTCTCTCTCT